TACGAACCCTTTGTACGAACAAAAGTAAGAGAAATTTAGGATAAGAATACGAACATGTTCTTGCATGAGGCCCAATGGTTCTTGAAGGTTTTTAATTCAATACTTTTAAAAGTTTATATGAAAAAACTTTGGTTAAAAAACATTCTTTAAAGTTTAAAGTTTTTATTTCAATACTATCAGAATGAAAAAATAACACAAAATAACCCAAAACCAGGTTCAAGTATAGTGAGGGTCTCCTGTCAGATAGAGCTGGATGTAGAGAGGGAAGTCTGGGTCTCTCTGCTTAGGCTGCTGTCCCCGCGACCCAACCCCGGATAAGTGACAGAAAATGGACGGACGGACTTCAGACTGGATGATATATTTTGAACCATCAACAATAAAGATGAAGTGATGAAGACTTTTACTCAAGTCATGTTTGTAGAGGAGACTTTTAACAAAGGAGGATGAACAGACGGTTCACTTCAGGTTAAATAATCTCTGCTGCTGTTATGATTTTCAAGGAATGGTTTGAACCCCAATATGCAGGACTGGGTGAGGGTGGCAAAAGGTGCAAAAAYGTTTTATTAACAAAAAAACAAYAGGCTGACGAGGCAGCAAACTAAATACAAGAACTTGGCTTGGTAGGGACATGAACAAAGAACAGCAAACAAGGATGACAGGAGGAAGAAAACAGATGACAAGACAGAAAACTGGAACAAAACATTAACAAAGACGCCAATCATAACAGCTGCCAGCTGGACTCATCTGCAGCTCTGCAGCAGAGAGTCCGTCTGACAGGTGGCTGACGGATCAGAGCACGCTCCTGCTGCTCAAACAGTCTGGATTATTAATAATCTGGTGATGTTTGGAGACATTGCTCTGAGATTATGTGTTGTGGCTTTGACAGATATCAGAGCAGCAGCAGCTTGTTCAGTGTTTCCTCAGGTTGTGGACAGAAACCAGGACCGCCTGGTAGGTGGGGTTCTGTGAAACCTTCAGTGAGGGAGGTGTTGTGAACCGACTGAAGCTCTTCTTCAGACAGCCGCCTTGTTTTTGTGTCAGAGCTGCTCTGTGAGTGGCACCGGGCCCTGCAGTGGATGCTGTGGCAGCTCWATGGGCAGGGTGGGGCTGTGGTGGAGGACACTCTGTCGGTCTTCAGCCTGCTCCTGCTGAGAGCTGAGGAACAAGCTGAAGATCCAGACGAGCATCATATGTTTCTGTCCCTGTTTTCTGACTTTCATCGTGCAGCTGAAACAGATCAAACACTTGAAAATGAAGATTTGCTGCCAGTGGAGCCACAGTTTGGTGGGTGGTGGATTTATTTAAATGAGATATTTTCATTTTGGGCTTAAACCACTTCTTCTGTACCGATCTTCTTTAATTGACTTTTAATGAGAAATATTGTTGCAATTTGAGTGTTTAATTGTTTAATATTAATAACTACTGTAAATTATTCTCTTGCTGTGTGTGTGTGGACAGGTATGTGGGGACCATTTTTGGCATACASCCCTACTRGTGGGGACCAACTGGTACTTATGGGTACCTAAGCCTAGTCCCCATGGGGGGAAATGCCACTGGTGGGTCAGGGGTTAGATTTAGGGTAAGAGGTCYGGGTTAGGCTGTAGAGATTAATGAAACTCTGAGGATGGTTCGAGATAGCCGCAGCATCCAACTGAACCGAATTACGACAGGAACAGTTACTGATACTGAGCTACACTCTGGTGTGGTAGTAGCTGAGGGTCATTCATAACTTCATTTTCAAAGTCTTTGTCTAACTTTTGAAGTATGTCTCCTAAATTTCGAGACAGATTTTATTAAATTAGGTGTTAAACTGAACAGACTCCAACAGGTTTTAGTTGTAGATTATGATGGTTGGATGATGTTTCATATCATATTTGAATAATTTCTAAATAACTGAACGCGTTAAACTCACATAGAAWGAGCTGCTGAGTACAAAACAAAAGTTAAACCACTTTAAAAGAAAGTCTGAAGGTAAAGTATAATGAAATGACAGTAGTTCTTTATACATGTGGACTCAGTAATCAGCTCTTTGATTTCTGTGACAAACAGGATTTCCTTCTTGTTTCTTACAGGACTTTTCATTGGACGACTCTAAAGCAGAGTTCAACCTCGATGCTCCTGATGGCGTGGTGATGGAGGGCTACCTTTTCAAAAGGGCCAGTAATGCTTTCAAGACCTGGAACAGGTAACCACCAAGACCAGAAGCCTTTTTATTTTTACACTTTTAAAACTACACATAATTAGGCTTTAAAAAATTTGGCTTTAATTCACAATACACTTTGGCTTTAAATCACAACATAATTCTGCTTTTATTCATGACATAATTTGGTTTTAATTCATGACATGGTTTGGCTAATTCCGCCAGGTTATGTTTGTAAATGAGAAGTGGTCCTCCAACAGTTTACC